TCCTCGTCACACCCCGTCACTTCAAGGGATTCCTCAATGTTATACAACATCACAGTCACAGTTCAACGACACAATAAGCCATCGTACTATGTTCACCGTTTGGGACAGTGCGAATTTACCAGAGGATAGCGATGCCTTGAGCCGCGGCCTCCAGTACCAACCTTCCAGCACGAGCAGCCTGACGTATGTTTTCCCAACACGTCATGACACGTCTTCAGGAAACGTCAATTTACGTCATACAACGTCATTGATCAACTACACTCCTCGTCACACCACGTCACAACAAGAGATACCTCAATGTTATGTAACGGCACTTCAAGACGACACACCAAGTCACATATCGTCACAGCAAAGCGTCACTCCAAGGCACATAACGTCACAGCAAAGCGTCAATCCAAGTCACATAACGTCACAGCAAAGCGTCACTCCAAGGCACATAACGTCACAGCAAAGCGTCACTCCAAGCCACATAACGTCACAGCAAAGCGTCACTCCAAGTCACATAACGTCACAGCAAAGCGTCACTCCAAGGCACATAGCGTCACAGCAAAGCGTCACTCCAAGGCACATAGCGTCACAGCAAAACGTTAATCCTAGCCACACAGTTCCACGGCGGAATATTTTTCTTTTTACAATCGAAGAAGTTTCAGAAGTCAACCAGACTCATGACAGTCATGACAGACATGACAGACATGACAGACATGACAGACATGACACACATGACAGACATGACAGACATGACACACATGACACACATGACACACATGACACACATGACAGACATGACACACATGACACACATGACACACATGAACTAAATACATTTAGCCTGGATCCACCGTCCTACACAAGCCTCTATCCCACCAACCCCCCACCATACCACGCAACACACCCTCGCCCGCAATCAGACACGTAACACACATTCGCACAAGTACATCAGTTAATTAAATCTACAAGTATACATTTTCAAATACCTGCTCCATGTTATTGTCACTCTTGGTGAACAAAGAACTACCTTTAGACACAAACAATTAAATGCAAGAATCGTAAAAGAAGAATACAATAATTTTAAAAGGTCACATTTAAAATGTAGTTAGCTAAATTAAAAAAAAAAACTCTAACAAAACGACTTTAGAAACACGTTATTTAGACAGAACATTCATGTTATAATGAATATAATACTGGAAAACGTATTTTTATCAGTCTGAACAACTAAAGTCTTTTAATTATTATTTGTATCCATTGTTTAAATGCTTTCTCTGTAAGTTTTCTTTCGATTCTGTTTTAAGTTTAAATCGATATTTACTTTTAACGTTCTAATGTTTTATAACTTGCTAAACAAATTAAAGAGAGAAGTGACATTATTAATAAGTGATGTTATTTATTGTTCTCAATATCCCGATGATCTCACTGTTAATTATAATTATTATTTATTACATTGATGTTTAATGTTTAACAACTATAAATATAAAATATGTATATGTTGATAAACTATGTAGAAAATTCAGAAGTTTTTGATATTTGTGCAACCATTTGAACGTTTTGTTGTGGATTCTGAAATGTATCTAACAATTTGTATTAAAATACCCCAAACTACTTACATAGCACTCACTATATTAAAAAAATGTCATAGCGATTATTATAAATATATTGACATGCTATCGCATCAATTAAAATAGTTTGCTTTTGCTATTTTTTTTTATTAATTGAGAAAAATTGAGTAAAATTTTTGTTTTGTTCAAAAGTGTTATTTCAAATTGCTTTTCTTTGCATTTCAAAAAAAAAATCATTTCAGTGAATTTATTTGTAAAATTTAAGCTAAAGAGGCAAAACAACCGTAGAATAAAAGCAGTTGTAATTTATATTTTTTGTAGTTTTTAGTAACTGTAGACTTATTGATATCTGTTTCATTTATATGAAATTCTCATCACTTCTACTTCTTCTACGTTCTAAATTTTAGTGTTGGAAGGGATCCCCTCCAACACAATTAATTATGCGTGTCAACTAGTTATGCAGCATAGACTCCGATTTTCTTTTTGAATTTGCTTCCACAGCCTTTGTCTAACCAAGAACAAACTACACGGCAGCAGTTGTTTGATTTTGGAGTTGTCTCTCCTAGAAGAGTGGCTGTCTGCTACCGAGCCCGGGGGTTCGAACTCGAGACTTTTCGGGGTAGCAATCATAAGCTTTACCGACTCAACCAGGCCAACACCCATATCCTAGTCTATATTGTTTAATGTAGATCGAGATAACTTAACAGAGATAGCCCACGTCTTCTGATGTCACTCACGAGTTTTGAAAACAATAATAATAAACACATTTACTGTTGTATTGAGTTGGATATGTGTTCTGAACAGAGACGTAGCGAAGGGGGGGGGGCGGGGGGGGGTACATATGTCCCCGGGCGCCGACCTTAGGGGGCGCCAAAACGGGTTGGAAAAACAAATTAAAATATCATTTTAGCTGCATTTTTGCTTTATAAATATAAAAAAATATATGGGTGCAAATCGAAAGTTCGAGGGGGGGGGGGGGTTTGCAAATCGACAGTTCTATAGAAAATTGAAAGGTTGATTCCAAGGGGGGCGCCAAATTGAAAGTTTGTCCACGGGCGCCGGGAAGGGTCGCTACGCCTCTGGTTCTGAATTGGATATGGACATTAACTTTTGTATTAAATTGGATATGGACATTTCGTTTTGAATTGAATTTGGAGATTTAGTGTTGTATTAACTTGCAAGCTGCCTCGGTGGCAAATACAAAGTGAGTTCACATAAGGTGTCTGCCCAACCAGACGATTGAAGAACACTTTACGTCAGTGGCGTAGGCAGGGGGGGTTAGGGGGTGCAAATCGAAAGTTTGAAGGGGGTGCACATCGAAAGTTTGAGGGAGGGGGTGCAAATCGAAAGTTTGAGGGGGGGGGGGGGCAAATCGAAAGTTTGAGGAGGGGGGGGGGTGCAAATCGAAAGTTTGAGGGGGGGGGGGCAAATCGAAAGTTTGTCCCCGGGTAAAAATTGGACCACCCCCCCTTTGAGACGATCCTGGCTACGCCGCTGCTTTACGTGTAGTTTTAATTGTTGGGTAGAACGTAATAACGTCGTTTTTAAATCTACAGGAGAATCTGGCACTTTAGTTGGTATGTATCAAGCGGAGGATCCTTAGTGCAGACTCGAACACCAATCACGTTTACAGAGAGAACGTATCCTCAAGTAGAAGATTTTAACCGCGTCAAGAATGAAGTGGTTCCGCCAGAATATTAGACCAAAAGCATTTTGTCATCATCACCGAGCTGAAAGCTTACTGATTGACATTCTCGGAGAGACGCCGGAAGAGAATGGTATACTGTTTGATGGTGCCTCGTGAATGCCAGGCATACTTCACGCCACATAAGCAACTGGGTCGACCGTACGCTTACTTTCTTCATCACCCTGGATTGTAAATATACTCGTATGTTTGAACTTTCTTGCCTAGAGATGATAATGCTTAGAAAAACGTTTCACGGCCCTTAAGCAACTGGGTCTATCGTACGCTCACTTTTTTCTCATCACCCTGGAGCGTAAAAATACTCGAGTGTTTGAACTCTTTCTTGCCTAGAGGTGATACTGCTAAGAAAAATGTTTCACGGCCCTTAAATCTAAAGCTTAGATTTAAATTTAGTACATTTACTCGTCACCAAAACTTTGGAAGAAAAAAGTCTCCTTAGATATATCATTTGGGTTAAGACGTCTGTATTTTTCTTATTCGTTTTTAAACTTTTTATGTTGCATAAATCCGTGTCAACTTGTTTTGCGTCATAGAGTCCGATGACTCAGATTTCAGTCTGCTTTTCTTTATGGATTCGCTTCCATAGCCTTTCTTCAATTAAGAAAGTTTGAATTTGGAGTTGTCTCTCCTAGAAGTGCTGCTGCCCCCAGCTATCGAGTCTCAACAGCCTAGGGATTCGAACTCGTGATTTTTTGGTTCAGCAACCATGAGCCTAACCGACTCGACCACGCCGACCATTAGTTTATCAAACATAAAGGAAAAATAGATAGACAATGACATTTTGTTCTGGAACACAATATATGTTTAACAACCCACATTTACCTAAATAAATGGAAATTGTACATACATTATCACAAAACACATAGATACAAACATCAACCACACACATTCATCAAAATATGGAAATAACACATAGGCCTACACATACATGAGCTAATAGCACATTGACACAGACATCAAACATACACAGTCCTCCAAATATGGAAATTACACATATACATATATTGACAAAATACACATTGACACAGAAATCAAACATACACAGTCCTCCGAATATGGAAATTACACATACACATATATGGACAAAATACACATTGACACAGACATCAAACATACACAGTCCTCCAAATATGGAAATTACACATACACATATATGGACAAAATACACATTGACACAGACATCAAACATACACAGTCCTCCAAATATGGAAATTACACATACACATATATGGACAAAATACACATTGACACAGACATCAAACATACACAGTCCTCCAAATACGGTGTTACAGCCGGCTCCTTATGAAATAATGTATTCTTGGCTAGTTGGAGCCAAGTTTAACAATTTTAAAGAAATACACTCCACTACCAGAATCTGTTTTATGGGTGTATATTTATAATTAATCACACGAACACATCACAAGAAGAAACGCGGACTAGATCTAGTAGGTAGACAATGATTTCACGACACCACACTGCTTACACACTCCTTCGTTCACACACTTGTTTTCAAGCTAGCACACCACATCCAAGGGGAGGCTACTCAATCTCGCACACAATCTATCCGTGCCTACACACGTTCGTATAGACATCTACGTCACAATGGAAACTACACATTCACATACATGGACAAATAACACACTGACACAGACACCCAGCATACACAGTAATCCGACAAACAATGTACCATTCCTTTTGTGTCTTTCAATATTCCTCACGCTTCGATGGGCACGCAACATGCGCAGATCCTGAAGTGTAGCCTAGCTGGGTATTTCATGTAATCGGAGTATATTGCAGGTGTGGTAACTTGTATCCGGATATGTTTCAATATTGTGTAATTTGTTAGTAGTTGTGGGAGAAGGAAAATTTCTTAAAAGGTTCTGCTTAATTTTTTTTTAAATATTTACTTGAATAAGCGATTTCTAGCAACATTTGATTGTAGTTAGTACTGTTAATGACTTTTTTTTTCTATTTATAAAATAATTATTGCATTTTATAATTATATACCATTTCGATAGACTGCAGGTTCCTTTAACTAATTAAGCTTACACTGTCTAAATGACAGTCCCCTTTTATCCATTTCTTGCAATAGAGTTGGCCTATCTTAAGAAATAGAAGACACCACAGATGTGTATGTCAGCGTATCACAACACAAGAGAGGCACCAAATACTTCTTTTTTTACTATTCACCAACTTTATCTGTTTTCTTCTTTTTCAGATATTTGCCTGATCATACAAGGGATTTTAAATGAAGCCCAGTGTCCTCTTACTTTGTCTGGCGAGCTCTCTTGGTAACTTCAGCTTTTATATTTTCGTAATTGAAACTCACATACTTTTAATTATACTATCATATATATATATATATATATATATATATATATATATATATATATATATGTTTGTATATGTATATGTATATATATATATATATATATATATATGTTTGTATATTAAATGGCTAAATTAAATTGGTACTTGTTTTAGAGCTTGTAACAACGCATTCAAAGGTAGGCTATAGAGTCTATTAAGTTAAAAACGTTTTAAAGTTAAGAGTTTTTTACTGACAATTTATATCTCTTTAAATTTGAGAATATTTGAAACAAAATCCAATTAAAATATGTAAATATAAAAGTTTTAATAAAAAACGTTGGCCTTGGTAAAGACAAGTAGGCCGATGTAAAATTATTACATTTAATTATATTCAGTATATTTTTTTTCCAATTTAATCTTTTGCACATTTTATTACTAAAGAATAAGTAGCGATACGTATTTTTTTTTTAAATTACTGATTTCATTGATTATTTTGAAACTTACAATTCAAAACCACATGTAGTATCATATTATCTTATATATTATTTTATAAACAGCAGAGATGTGTTATGCAATGAAATATACAGTAAAAGTTGGAGACAACTTTAGATGTAGCACTACAATAACGTTAACAAAACAAGAAGTTCGATGGGTGTTAACAGAAGTTGATGGAAGGAATATAGAAATATCAATCTGCTATTCTAACTTGGAAACATTTATCCACTACAACCCAGGTAGGACTTTGTATTCAAGGTGTGCTTACAGAGGCGTAGCGAGCCTTCCCGGCGCCCGGTGACAAACTTTTCGATTTGCACCCCCCCTCAAACTTTCGATTTGCATCCCCCTTTCAAGATTTCGATTTGCACCCCCCTCAAACTTTCGATTAGCGCCCCCCCCCCCTCAAGATTTCGATTTGCACCCCCCTCAAACTTTCGATTTGCACCCCCCTCAACCTTTCAATTCATTTTTCCAACCCATTTTGGCGCCCGGGGACATACGTCCGTACCCCCGCCCCCCCCCCCCTCCCCTCGCTACGCTACTGTGTGCTTATTATTTTACGTCTAAACATTCAAATATCGTTAATGTTTTTTTTAATTGAAGAGTGAAATATCTATCTTTAACCAAACGTCACTATAATCAAATATTACTTGCCAATAATCTTAGCTTACTTTTTAATTAAAGAAAACTACACTACGTAAAAATTCCTTTCATATCTCACGCTCTATAGAGCAAGTAAAGTAGTTCACCTGTTTCTTTTATATCGGCATACTTTACCTATCAAAACAGGAAGAGGAAATGAGAAGTGGGTAGACTCATTGAGGTTCCACAGACTTGAACCCGGGTTCGAACTCGAGACTTTCTAGTTAGTAGTTGTATGCTCTACTATTCGACCACACCGTCTTATTAAAACGGTATATGTAATATACACATGTTTTGATTAAAATGCAATCATCGCACATGATTTAGGAAAACATTATTTACTTTTGTTTAGATAGTTACACAAATTAGCGTTGTTACGGGTCATTGGTGTTTAGTTTAGAATAGGGTGGACTAGTGGCGTAGCGAGGTCGGGTCTCACCCGGTGCGGCTTAACGGTGTCACACCCTAGAGGCGTTTCCCGGGAACAAACTTTCAATTTTCGATTTGCACCCCCCCCCCTCCTCAAACTTTCGATTTCAAACATTTTGATTTGCACCCCCCCTCCCCCCACATCAAACTTTCGATTTGCACCTTGTAAAAGGTTATTTAACACTCAAATTAATCACTTGATTAAGTGGTTATCATTTTTTTCTATATATTTTGCTATTTTTTGCCTTGGTGTCACCCCCTAAATGGTGTCACCCGGTGTGGTCCCCACCCTCCGCCCCCCTCCCCCTCGCTCGCCTCTGTCTAGTCTAAAACTTAGTTAACTCCGGTGTGTTTATGTATTGTTATCCCAAGGTCGAATGCGGGTATAAAGGTGGAGTTAGCGATCGTTATGGGGCTTTTTGATAGAGACTAGCTTAGAGTAGTTCGATTTGTGGATAAGGTGGTATGAATAACATAGGAACTGTGTAGCCTTTGATGCTTTGAATAAAAGCAGGTCACAACCAGTGCTATTCTTGGGACGATACTCACCGGTACATCGTGCCGGCACCTTTTTCAATGTGGGGAAAAAAGTATTACTTTCTTGTATTTTAACGTTTATTATTAATGTATTATTTGATTAATTTGTTAATTGTTAATTTAGTATCTTTGCAGTTGTGATTTAGCTTACATCGATGTGCGAACTGATAGTTAAAAGTTAAGCAATTCATCACGGAGTACCTATATTTTTATTTTTACAAATAAGCACTGGTCGCAACAAACGCATTAAATGATACCAAAGTTTCTGTGAGACCCTTACGAAGAAAGTCTACCCCCCCCCCCCCCGAACGAAATGGGATTTATATACAAAATGTATACTTTTAACAGTGTCCGCCCCCTACCCGCGAAATTTCAAATGTCCCACATGAGAAAAAAGTCTAAAAGAAACACTGAACGATACTTAACTATCTTTCAAAACTATCCACAATTAACCTAAAGATTCCTACTTCACTTCTCGTCTTTAGACAACTTTCAAACAGCGTGTGAATGGTATAACGACACCTCCGGATGGAAGGGATATCACGCCTTAAACGTTGCTCACCTTAACACAGACATGCTCCGGCTCACCTGTCTAACCTATCAGGATATCGTTATCGATTACTGTGAATTTGTTTTCATGGGTATACCATTTTCTTTCTATTTTGTGGCTTAGATATATTGAAATTTAATTTAATAAAAAAAAAATTCGACCGTAAGAATAAACAATAATTGTATTTTTTTTTTCTAATAAAGTCGTAACATTGATAAAATATCAGTTAGATCAAATAATATAAAGTCAATAAAGTATTTTAATAAATGCCGTATTTATTGTTTTCCCTAGCTTCCGAAAATCCTCAAGAAACTAAAGACACAGGTTTTAAGCCAGACTGGACACTTCTAGGTAAACTTGCCATCCCAATTTTTATCGCAGCCGTCATATTGAGTACAGTAGTGTGTTTCTGTATCACAAAGTGCAGGAAAAAATGGCAAGTCCGGAGAGAAAATAGATCCACCACATCAAGAACAGTGACTCCACATCACACAACATCAACAGACTGTCCTTTATTTTACACAACATTATCAGAGGTCCCTCCGTGTTATAGTACGTCATCAACGGACAACCCTCCGTGTTATGGCGTGTCGTTAACAGACGGCCCTCCGTGTTACAGTATGTATATAACAGACGCCCCTCCATGTTATATTACGTCATCAACAGACGCCCCTCCAAGTTATACTACATCATCAACAGACGCCCCTCCAAGTTATACTACGTCATCAACAGACGCCCCTCCATGTTATACTACGTCATCAACAGACGCCCCTCCATGTTGCAATACGTCATCAACAGACGCCCCTTCATGTTATACTACATCATCAACAGACGCCCCTTCACGTTATACTACGTCATCAACAGACGCCCCTCCATGTTATACTACGTCATCAACAGACGCCCCTTCACGTTATACTACGTCATCAACAGACGCCCCTTCATGTTATACTACATCATCATCAGACGCCCCTCCATGTTATACTACGTCATCAACAGACGCCCCTTCACGTTATACTACGTCATCAACAGACGCCCCTTCATGTTATACTACGTCATCAACAGACGCCCCTCCATGTTATACTACGTCATCAACAGACGCCCCTTCATGTTATACTACATCATCAACAGACGCCCCTTCATGTTGCAATACGTCATCAACAGACGCCCCCTCATAATGCAGGATACCACAAGCACACGATCATTCTCGAAATGTTTATCAAAGTTATGTATTACCTTTACACAAGAGGCGTAGAAACAACCAATTTAACGTTTTTGTAGTAGACAAACTACTTTGAACACTTATATAAAGACAGGTAATTTTATTTTCTATTTATATCCGGCCTCATATATATATATATATATATATATATATATATATATATATATATATATATATATATATATATATATATATATATATATATATATATATATATGGTTCCATGACAAATGATCTCAGGACAAATGATCTCAGACAAAATATCTAAGACAAAATATCTCTCGGACAAATGATCTCAGGACACTAATGTCCTAAAACCTTTCTGCTAGGTAACTAATGAGGCCATTGCCGAAACAGCTTTGCTTGCATACACTATGGCGAACTTGGCTCCGCGATGACCGCTGTCGTTTCAATAAGCATTTGTCACCTGATCACTGAGGTGTGACCGACGCATAACAATGGACTTTAGATGCTAGTTGTATTGTCCGTGGAGGGCGGTTGTCTTTCCCTAAAGGCATGTCTCTGCTATCAAATCGGGCTGCCACCTTGATACGAAGGTGTGTCTTTATTTTTATTTCATTCCCTTTGATCAAGTTTCGTCCACATGACATGGTAGGATTGTATCATGTTTGTCAAGCCCACCTAGTCTGTCTATCGAAAAAAAATTCTTTAATCTTTGCATACTATATTAACAATCTTAATTTTAAAATGTTAAGTGCAATATGACAAATTTATACGGCAAACATTTCTCACAATTATTATTTTGGTCTACAATTAATATTAAACATAGTAAACAAAACGATATGGCAGTCAATAAAAAAAAATGTTTAAATCAACTAAATTCATTCAATAGACTATTACAATTTGGCTGTGAGATATTTTGTCTGAGATATTTTGTCTGAGATCATTGTCCGTGGTATCATTTGTCCTGATATATTTTATCTTGGTATCTTTTGTCCGTGAGATCATTTGTCCTGAGATCATTTGTCCGTGAGATATTTTGTCTGAGATATTTTGTCTGAGATCATTTGTCCTGAGATCATTTGTCCTGTCACCATATATATATATATATATATATATATATATATATATATATATATATATATAGAGAGAGAGAGAGAGAGAGAGAGAGAGAGAGAGAGCCTCATGTTGTAAATAGATCTCAAATGTTTATTTAGTTAAGTATGTAGTGACTTATATTGTGTTGGACGAGTCAAAGACATTTACATATTGTTTTAAAATCGTGGTTTGTGTAATATAATCATATGATACAACTCAGTTGTGTTTTTTTTTATTTGGAAACAATCATTGCTTATTAAGTTGTGTTTAATAGTGAACGTAATCAAAGAATATTTGAAAACAAAGCCAATATAAGTCTTCATAATCTTATGTATATAAATGGAAATAACAGATCAAGCTTACGTTTTAAATTATTTACAAAAATTTACCTGAAGATAAAATACCGAATCACATTTCAAGTATCAGAGTATATTGTGTATCAGAGTACTGCTCATTACATTGTTACTTGCAAAGATAGAATAATTTTAGAGATTTATTGATTAAGGTACTCCGCTGTTATAATTTTTTTTCTTTCAGATGGTTTAGCTTTCGAGGAATTCTATATACACACACACACACGCTCGCGCACACAGACACACAGACACACACACACACATGTATATATATATATATATATATATATATATATATATATATATATATATATATATATATATATATATATATATATATATATATATATATATATATTATACACACATTTTATGTACGTAATAGTATTTTTACACAAGTAACATGTTATCACAGTTACAGCATTTGCATCTGACTGTATGTTGACAACCAAATACCTGACATAATAATTTCCGGTTGACTTTATCCAACACATACAAACAGCAACGAGGAAGATCACTGTAGCACATCTCCTTCTCAGTTCTGCTCGACTGGATGCCACACGTTACACACTGCTGAACAGAGGTCTCATGAACTAAGCAGGGCTGCTACTTTATTACCAGAGTTTCTTCATTCCACCCCTCCCCCGGAAAGCGTCTAACGCCCTCCAGTCCACTTCCCCACCCCTCCCGGAACGAAACATAATTTATACAGATAATTTTTACTTTTAGCCAGCCCCCCCCCCCCCCCTCCCGAAAATCTCAGGTGCCCCCCTCCTTGGAGAAGAAGGTCTGCAAGAAACTCTGTTAAATTATTACTTAGTTTGTATATTTTGACGGACAAATTAACTCTAGTAGGTTACATTTCAACATGGGTTCTAGAATCCAGTATTCACTTATTTTCTATTGATAGATGAACGTCAGCATCTTGACAGTTGATTTAAGGACAGCTGTTTGAGTAATTGGATTGTAATGTGAAGAGAAGATTAGTTAAAGAAATTACACATACAAAATTTCTACAACTGTTTTATAACATAGGAATATGGTATCAAAGATTCGTAAAAGTTGATAGCATAGCCATAATTTTAAAAACATTCACTCTATAGAGAAATTCTCAATTTTTTTTTTTTAGAATTTATAATTTACATTATATATTCATTCTAAAATGGATTATTTACAAAAGTTATATTTGAAAATCTCTCCCTCTAACTGAATAATACAGTAAATTTAAAATACCTGTCTAAGTTAGCGATGAATATAACTACCCAATACTTTAGTGACTTTGTAATTAAAAATGAAGTCGAAATAAACTTGCAAGAATGGTTAGGTTTATTTTTACATCATTTGTTACATATATTTACAAAGCAATATGTCGTATTACTTTAATAAAAACCTTGCAAATCAATTTAAATAAACACTTAACACTACATATACAGTTCACAATTCTACATTGTGTTGGTGAATGTGTATCCTAGAAGTGGGGCATGGTATTTAATATTTGCTGGAGTCTAGACTAGTTGCTATTGTATAATATACGAGCCGACCCGCGGCATAACATACGCCGCTATTTAGTTACGGGTGAAGACTTCCTGAAAGACACAGTTGTCCAAACAGGGTGGGTGGGTACACACCGTTGTGCATGTCTGGAGAGCGAGGGAGGGGGCGGGAGGAGGGTTAGAGAGTCAGCGTGCGTGCGTGGTGTCCCGCATGGTTGTGCGACTTACAGAATTATATATATATATAGGCCACAATATCACATTTCGTAAACCATTTATTTTAAGTGTATGAAAAAAATGCAGCGTTTGTTTGTTGTAGTAGGCCTACTTGTAAAATAAAACAAAATTGAAATTAAGGGGGAATGTAAAAAATCAATATAGAATTATATTTTTATATGCATAAATTTGATAGGATCAACCTTTGACCTCGACATGTTACATTGTACAACAATAATGAAATTTACATCTTATGAAAATAAAAAAAAATTCATTCGTTTGTGCGTGCAAAATATTTAAATGTAAACAGTAAGCATCCAACGTGACAAATAAAAAAAGAAAAAAAAAGAAAGAAAAAAAAAGTTACCTTAACAGTGCTGCATTAAAACGGAGAAAAAAAACTGTTTTTAACATTATCAACACAAAGAAAAAGTAACTAATTATATTTAGTTTTAGTAAAATCTGAAAAGAATACCAACACAGCAAAAAATTTATAGGAAATTTATGTCTTCTAAACAAGAATAATTTTTTATAGTGCATTTTGTTTGTATAGTTGCATAGTTAGAATTTCATTGAAGGTTAAACAAATAAAAAAAAACAATAAAAGACCAGATAAATAGTAACAGTGTCAATATTTTACTAAAAATGCTTTGGACTACTTGGGTAAATCAAATTTTTAAAAATGTTTACTCTTTGTCTTGAGATATTTGATTTTGTTATAAACGTAAATCTGTGTCCACAGCAAACTTTACAACAAAGTGAAAGACTTTGACTAAGTGAGCTCTTACATTTGTGTGTGCTGATTTTTACAAAACTATAGCAGACTCAATGCTTTTTCTTCGTTATTGACAAAAAATAACTGTCGTAAGTATTGTATTAGCTCCTAAACACTTCTAAACTGTGATATTTTAAAGAAGTTTGTCTCACAAACGTTTGATGTTTTAAACCATATTGTTTGATATAACTTTGTTTTTTAAAAACCGTTCAGATTATAAATTTGACCAAACGGCATTGGGCAGTAAATAGTTATGCATCATCAAGTCTTCAACCTGAATATGGCGGCGGTAGGTCATTGATTTCGTCACCTGAAATGAAATAAAAAGTGTGTGTCAATATATAACTTAAAGCCATTTGAAATATAGAAAACAAATTACAATGAGCTAAATTAAATATTGTAATTGATAGCTGTCAAAATATTTTACAACCACGATTTATTTTCACGATAGTGTCACCTCTTGCAGAAATTAAATGCTAATACATTTTCAAATAAAGTTCTAGCCACGGTTATAAAACAAAACAACTCACATTACAGAATCTAAGAACTTGAAACTGTTAACAGCTAAGTGTCTATACCAAGAGTTCACGTCGGGAGAACTCCAAGTGTGTTTCTCTCTCTCAAACTTTTTACTCGGGGGGGGGGGGGGGGGGAGATGGGGCAGCCATCCCCCTCCCACCCGACCCGAGAACAAAAAAGAGAAGCCTGAAGGAAACTTTTCCCTGCCAAAGAGCCTGTTGTTTAATGAGGTTGGCTTCCTTAATTAATAAGCTTTTATTATATTTAATTGCGTGAAACTAATGAAAAGTAAGTATGGGATACATATTTGCATTTATCATGAACTCCTGAAAGTATAGTAGCCATGGCAACGGCAGGCTTCTAAAAAAAAAAAACTTCTCACGGTTCAAAAACGAACATATATATCAATAGTTTAATCATTGATCGTTCTTTTACTGACTGTAATAGAGTCAACTAACACTCTAGAAATATTTTTCTTTTCGAATTATTAAAATTTAATATAGTGCTAAAATTAATGGTTAGTTTTTTTATTTATAAAGGAATTTTAAGGACTAGTGTATTATGGTTGGGAAAGGCTTGTTTTTTTTTTATTAAGCAGCTTCTTATTCGGCATGTACATGGACGCACATTTTTATTTGGAATGTGTTAAAATTCCATGTTAATAAATGGGGAATAATCTGAACAATACTACGATTTTGGCCCTTTCGAGTCAAGATAGCAACAGATATATATCAAAGGGAAATAACTCTTACCTAATTTGTTATCTCCTTTGGATTCTAAATTATATCGAGTTCCTTCCCTTTTTTGTTGGTATTTTGCTTGCCGAACTACAGCGTCGTAAGAGGGTGGGGGCGGTGAAACAGCGGGAATATCCGCTGGCCGTATGACGTCATTGCTGGTGCTAGTGTTTACAATTGAGCTGTAAGATGGCGGGAATGCCGAGATGCCCGTGTCAGCAGCCGGTGCTCTGGTTACTGGAACATTCCAAGACGGATGGGGTGTGTTGGTAACACCGTTGGTGACCTCTTGACCTCTGGTGCATTCCCTCAGGTTTCTACTTGGGTCATCAGATCTGGCTAATTCTACTTGGTTTTGGTGTGTGGTATATTCCCTCACATTTCTACTTGGGTAATCTGATTCCCTCACAATTCTACTTGGGTATTCTGATTCCCTCACAGTTCTACTTGGGTATTCTGATTCCCTCACAATTCTACGTGGGTACTCTGATTCCCTCACAATTCTACTTGGATACTCTAATTCCCTCACACTTCTACTTGGGTATTCTGATTCCCTCACAGTTCTATTTGGGTATTCTGATTCCCTCACAGTTCTATTTGGGTATTCTGATTCCCTCACATTTCTACTTGGGTAACCTGATTCCCTCACAGTTGGGTACTCCAACAAAGCAATAGCTACGGACTGTTGTTCTTGCGACTCACGGTCAAGGTTGCGCTGTTTCCTCTTCCACCTGACAACAATAATGGTAGTGACGATGGCGACGATGGCGATGGCAACGAAAAAGATCACTACGGTGTAATTGACAATTGGGAATATTACTGACGAATCTGGCCCTCCTGCAATGGTACAACATACGTTTTATCACGTCGATAACAGTGGTAAAAGATATATTTTAAAACAACACCTATAATGGTACTTATATATATATTTAAATGGTTATATATATGTATATATATATATATATATATATATATATATATATATATATATATATATATATATATATATATATATATATATGTATACATTGCATAATTATGTATGTTAAATTGATATAGTTCTTGGTATAAACCCATAAAAATATACCTGATTTGACTGTTGTTGTATCGCCTGTTAAAAAAGCGAAATAATATGTTGAGATTATAAAAATTCCAACACATTTCACAAATGTAGCCTACCCTAAGTAAATCAAACATTAAAACTACATGTTATATACACTACAATGGGCACATAAAGGAGAGTTCATATATATATTTTTTTACTTCGGCATTAAAAGGATAGTGTGGTCAACACTATGTCTAGCCGCCTTTACTTTCGTTAACGTGAGTTAAGAACACATCAGAACTGGGTGGATTCTGGAATGTTCTACTGACTTGAACACGGATTCGAACTCGAGACTTTCAGGTTAGCAGACAAGCGCTCTACTGCTAGGCGACTCCGTCCCCAAAAAATGGTTAACTATATTAGCATACGCCGCTATCTAGTTGTTTTATTTTCTACTTATCAACAATTCATAACTTGTGAATTCGACAAAAGAGAATTATAAATATAGATTAAAAAGTATGTAAAATATAATTTTTTACATATATTTCACAAATATACAATCAGTTACCCAAGTCACCGAGCGATATCCAGTCGCTGAGTCGAGAGAATACACCACTCTTGTCTACATGCGACGTCAACTCCACTCTTACAACGGTGGGATGAAGGGGACCACGAACTCTTCCACGAATAGTGCAAGTTGTTAGGTAGAGTGGTCTCCCTTGCATAGACTGGTGCTTGTGAGTGTAGGCTGTATGAATGTCTTCAAGTTTCGTGGCAGTGGGAAGTGTCTGAAATACATACATATATGTAATCCTGATAATGGTATGCATTATATTTATTTAACTTCAGTATGTGGACGTTGTTTAATGAAATGGCATGTTGCACCCGAATGTCTCGAGTTCGAATCCGGGTTCAATTCAGTAGACCGTCCCTGTGCCCACCCAGCTCTGATGGGTACTTAACTCACGTTAGGGAAAGTAAAGGCGGCTGGGCGCAGTGCTGACTACACTGTACCTTCATGTGTAGATGTCAAGTACAGAGGAAGCTCTACTTCATTAACCCCATGTAGAAGCGCAGCTAAGGAAGGGCGGGTGGGGCGGCAGCAAAGGCGCCGACACTAGAGGGGCGCCAAACAGTTTTTGAAAAGTAATACAATTTCATTTTTAACTGCGTTGCTAAATAATAAGACAATAGATTACTGCTTTGCTTTCCCCACTGGTTTAGCTGTTTTGTTTATATCAATTATTTGATATTATGGTAAAAAAAAAACTGTTAGGAGATACTTTCTGCTAAAAGGCGCCACAATCTGTCCAAATGTAGGGGGGGGGGAGATGGGCTTTTTTCAACGTGAATAACTATGTATAACAGCGGGCGGAGGGTGGGGTTTAAACTATATAGTTCGCCCGGGCGCTGGAAAGGGTCGCTACGCCTCTGACCCTACATGGGCTTTCAGATTCAAGAGAGTAACTTTACTTTTTATGTTTTATACTACAGGTATTTGTAAAGCAGAGTTTCTTCCAGGCATTTCTTCGGGGCGAAGCAAAAAAAATTTACCGCCCCCCCCCCCGAACGAAATGAAAGTTATATATTTTATATAGAAAATATATACTTTTAACAGTGTCCGTCCCCCCGAAGAAAGTCTACCGCCCCCCCCCCCCCACCGAAAATTTCAAGTGCCCCCCCTCCCCCCGGAGAAAAAAGTCTGGAAGAAACACTGTTGTAAAGTTCGTCTATTGTTCAGCATTCTCTAAACTAAGCTTAGTATTGTTGTGTATTCGTGTGTACACAGATGTGTTGTACACAGTCACGTGAGCTCATTCCCTCTACTCACCCTCGGGCTGAGTGTACAGGTACCGTAGGGGTAGACCAAAAAACTACAGGTGAGTTCAAACATATTTGAAGACTTGGAACCGGTGCTGATACAGGATGTATCGTTTGGTGGCACTGTAGAGAATAATTATTTTATTAATCAGGGAATTTCAAAACATGACATCTAAACTGGTTATGTAACTATCAACAAGACCTCTTAACTGGTTATATAACTATCAACAAAATCTCTTAACTGGTTATGTAACTACCGACACGACCACCTAAATGGTTATGTAACTATCGACACGACCACCTAACTGGTTATGTAACTATCGACATCTAATATGAGTTTTATAAGTTTTATTATGAAAAAAAAATGTATCTACCATTACATAAGTAGCAAGCAGCTATTACCTACAACATTAATATCATAGGTGTTCCCTAAACTTGCCCCGAATGTAGAGACACACTTCACTTGAGTCAGTTCTCTGGGCATGCGGAGCACTCTCAGAAATGTTGTCCAAATGGTTCCATTCTGGACACTTCCATACTCAATGTCTGTAAAATTCAATATTTTCTTTATCTTCTTCTTCGTTCTTAATTTTTTTTAGTGTCGGAAGGGATCGAGCCTTATCTGCCAGAGGGTTTGAACTCGAGACTTTTTCGAATTTATCAACCATGAGCTTTTGCCGACTCGACCACGCCTCCATCACAATTAAGGATACGTGTCAACTGGTTATGCGCCATTGAGGCCATTGACTCCAGTTTCAGCCTGCTTTTCTTTTTGGATTTGCTTCCATAGCCTTTGTTCAACCAAGAACAAACTTCAAGGCAGCAGTCTATAATATTTTCTTTAGATTTCAGTAGAATACAGTAAACGCATAGAGGGATGTTTTTTTTACTTTGTGGACATTATGAATTCATTAAAATTTGGCTTTAATAAAAAAAAAAAAACAACAACATTATAATAGAAGCTTTTATTTGTGTACTAAATAGAAGAGAATTCCGTTTCGTTGTCATTGAGTCGTGACCTACGTGTAACGTTATAAGTTATAAGCAAATTGGTTTGGTGGGAATTGTCGAAATTTGATAAAAGGTTTCGACCCTTGATTGATTAGCATGTAAAGAGACAAAAGCTTGAAGCTCGAAGATAAAACTTACATAATAATGTCTAAAAACTGTTTTCCATCTTAAAAAAAGACTCTTAGTATTAGGAGCAAATATAAAATATTTCGACGACATTAAAAGTCTAAATTTAAAAAAATAAAATGGTTATGAATTTTCAATTAAATTCTAAATTTATGTAAATTATGCACACATTATAACGTTTGTTTTAGTGTTAATTCTGAGCATCCTAATCGATATAATGTACTATCCCCAACCATTTAATTCTTCAATTATTAAATTAATATTCTATTTAAAAGAATAGGTAGATAAATAAAAAATAAAGAGAGTCACTTCTTTTATGAAGTAGTTTTATTAAAACATCTATTTTGAATACATTATATTGGAATAAGACTATTTAAATTATATTATAATTTGTTGTAAACAACATTGTAAAATTTTTTTGGGTTTTAGGATAAAAGGCCAGAAAGATGACAATCGACAGAGAAAAGGCCAGATAAATACTAAGAATATTCAGCTGTGAGATATTTGTTCTGATATATTTTGTATGAGTTAATACATCCATGAGATCATTACAAATTTCTCCTAATAAATTTTGTATTGAGATCACTGAGATTAAAAGTTCTTGATATATTTGTCCTGAGATAATTATTTTTGAGATGTATTTCATTTGGTATATTTAATCTGAGATCATTTGCCATTTTTCTTTTTTCTTCATCTGATTCCATTACAAAAACCACAGGGCTAAGTTTATTTTATATTATTATATTCACACACATATAGGCTATATATATATATATATATATATATATATATATATATATATATATATATATATATATATATATATATATATATATATATATATATATATATATATATATATATAAATATATATATATATATATATATATATATATATATATATATATATATATATATATATATGTGTGTGTGTGTGTATAATTATATATATGTCATTAATTTTAAATTGACTTTTACCAAATTCATATTCTTCAACACGTCTAAGGACATGACATCAGAGTATGGCAAAGTATGATTTCAGCTTTTACTCCAACAGTGATAGTCAACTAAAAATTAGTTAAATTACATTAATCATTCTACTTACCTATATAAGCGATAGGCGTCACTTGCTTACACACGGTCGCCCTCAGTGGTTGCTTTGTACAAGTTACAACATTGGCCGTTTTGTCTTTGATTGTCATATACCAATGTATTGACTTCTCGCCACGTGGTATGCTGCAGAATTCTAAGAACTCCATGTTTTCTTCTACAACAATACGACGCCATCCACCATCTGCTACTGCACACGGTCAACGGTAACAGTAATTATTATTTTACATTTGACATTATATATATATAGGCCTATATATATATATATATATATATATATATATATATATATATATATATATTCTATATATATATATATTCTATATATATATATATATTACCTATATATATATATATATATATATATATATATATATATATATATATATTACCTATATATATATTACCTATAAATTCCAAACATATTTCTCAACATGCCTATTTAGCATTCAACAAGTTTAAAAATGAGTTTTACGCTTTTATTTTCTACTTACATAAAACCAGTTGTAGAACTCCACAAATGGCAATTAGGAACTTGGGATCCATTTACCTACTATACGTGGATAAGAGGTTAAGAAGTCTAATGAGAGTTAAAAATTATATTTCTAACACATTTTCTATAAGTAAAGTATTCTCTTTAGACCTAACGATACATTGGGTAGATGAAGTGAAGTTCATATGTTTCTTGACCTCGGCATATAAATGGATAATGTGGTCAGCATTAAAGGTCAGCCGCCTTTACTCTCCCTAACGTAAGTTAGGTACCCATCAGAGGTGGGTGGACTCAGGGACGTTCCACTAACTTGAACCCGGATTCGAACTCGAAACTATCGGGTTAGTATACTAGCGCTCCACCGCTAGGCCACGCCGTCTCATAACACATTATCTGCAGATGTCAAAATCTGTGGCTGTAAACACACATACACGCATACACGCATACACACACAGACATATATATATATATATATATATATATATATATATATATATATATATATATATATATATATATATATATATATATATATATATGTCAGTGTGTGTCTGTGTGTATTTAAAACACAGGTACTAATAAGTATAATTATCCATAAGCTGATTTTATTTAATTAAGTTAGGCAATCTTACCTTTCCCGTTTATTGTCCATTCATTTAATGTACACAAGTGTACGAAATATAACTTTCATTTTCCTCACTGCTGTAACATCCCTCGCTACTTGCTGAGGTTCAACCACTGATACGTCTCGCATTACAGACCTCTACTTTTCTATTCTACACACCACAACTACTTTAATTCAGTTTTAAAATATATTCACAGTAGATACCATTTTCATCACTATGGGGAATATATCCATCGTTTTAAAACACATATCTTGATTCCTGTTACCACTGTAGATTCATGTAACTGCTAATTGAAGGTATTTTTAACATGTTTATGTCAACGTGACATCATACCAAATCGAGGCCAAAGCACGGCAGGAGTAACACATTAACCGGGTTTCCCCCTTCCATGCAGAGAGGGATTACTTTCCCATATGGCTGATTTTACGTACTTAACATTTTAAATACCTGGAGGATTGAAAAGGTCTTGAGTCTGGAAATAAACACGTGACGTGTATACTCTCGTGAACCCATCTTGTGCACTCATCGTTCGGTAAACACTTGACGTGTTCAGGTGTGTCCTGCACACACAGCGCGGTGTGTAGTAGACGTGTTGTGACCTGCATCGTGATGTTTGGGTTTGTCAGACCCAGTTGTTTATATTCCGTCACCGACTTTTGAGACAGGCAACACTTTGAATACGTGCTGAATTATCGATTATTTGTTTAGATTTAATCTAAAACAAACTGTTATCAACTAACCACTAAACATCATGTTCGTATTATGCTGTAAATATTATACCCCTAACGTAAAATGTCAACACTTAAACATACTTCTAAGTTAACTAATTCTCAATATTATAACGTAAGTTTACATACACATTACGTAATGTCCACTATCTTTATGTTTATAAACAGAAAGAAAAAAAGGTAATTTTTCAAGACAGCTGTCCTTTCTGTATGCTTAAGAGTACATTTTTGTAGCGGCGAATACTGAGAAGCATTGACGCCAGAGAACGGTCCTATGTCTTCATTTGTAAAGGACAATTGTGACTTGATTTTTTTGTAAAGTGAATAAACTAAAACAAAGATCGAAAGCCATTGATGAATAACCAATAAATGAGGTGGATTAATTTGAACCTCTTAAACTCTTGTAGTCGTCTGTGTATGTTGCTTTTTTTGTCCTTGTTAAAAAATTTTTTGTCAAGGTACTCCACTGCTGATAAAGTAAGTAGCCCATTAAAACATATTTTTATATCTTTCCTTTATGCAAACATAATTGAATGAAAACACCTGCATTATTTTTATTTTATTCTGAAAATAATGTTTAACTGAATAAAATTAAAACTCATCAGATATTATTTATTACAATAATTTTATTTACTTTTAAGAGCGGATTTTAGTTTATAGTCATCAAGCAAAAGACACCTATAAGGAAATAAAAGCTAAAGAAAAAAAATTACAACGAATAATCACACAATATAATTGATAAAGTAAATAAGCGGTGCGTTCCAAAATATAATAGAACCATGTTCGTGTAGGTCTACTTTTGCCCTTGGTAGGGAAGGGTGATGTTTATGTATGGGGGGGGGGGTGATGGGTGATGATTGTCTTGGGGTGGGGAGGGGGGAGGGTGATGTCTGTGTTGGGGTGGGGTGGGGTGATGTCTGTGTTGGGGTGGGGTGATGTCTGTGTTGGGATGGGGAGGGTGATGTCTGTGTTGGGGTGGGGTGGGTGATGTCTGTGTTGGGGTGGGGTGATGTCTGTGTTGGGATGGGGAGGGTGATGTCTGTGTTGGGGTGGGGAGGGTGATGTCTGTGTTGGGGTGGGGAGGGTGATGTCTGTGTTGGGGTTGGGAGGGTGATGTCTGTGTTGGGGTGGGGAGGGTGATGTCTGTGTTGGGGTGGGGAGGGGAGGGTGATGTCTGTGTTGGGGTGGGTGATGTCTGTGTTGGGGTGGGGAGGGTGATGTCTGTGTTGGGGTGGGGAGGGGAGGGTGATGTCTGTGTTGGGGTGGGGAGGGGAGGGTGATGTCTGTGTTGGGGTGGGTGATGTCTGTGTTGGGGTGGGGACGGGTGGGTGATGTCTGTGTTGGGGTGGGTGATGTCTGTGTTGGGGTGGGGAGGGTGATGTCTGTGTTGGGGTGGGGAGGGTGATGTCTGTGTTGGGGTGGGTGATGTCTGTGTTGGGGTGGGGAGGGTGATGTCTGTGTTGGGGTGGGGAGGGGAGGGTGATGTCTGTGTTGGGGTGGGTGATGTCTGTGTTGGGGTGGGGGGGTGATGTCTGTGTTGGGGTGGGGAGGGTGATGTCTGTGTTGGGGTGGGGAGGGTGATGTCTGTGTTGGGGTGGGGAGGGTGATGTCTGTGTTGGGGTGGGGAGGGTGATGTCTGTGTTGGGGTGGGGAGGGTGATGTCTGTGTTGGGGTGGGGAGGGTGATGTCTGTGTTGGGGTGGGGAGGGTGATGTCTGTGTTGGGGTGGGTGATGTCTGTGTTGGGGTGGGGAGGGTGATGTCTGTGTTGGGGTGGGGTGGGGTGATGTCTGTGTTGGGGTGGGGTGGGGTGATGTCTGTGTTGGGGTGGGGAGGGGAGGGTGATGTCTGTGTTGGGGTGGGGAGGGTGATGTCTGTGTTGGGGTGGGGTGGGGTGATGTCTGTGTTGGGGTGGGGAGGGGAGGGTGATGTCTGTGTTGGGGTGGGGAGGGTGATGTCTGTGTTGGGGTGGGGAGGGTGATGTCTGTGTTGGGGTGGGGTGGGTGATGTCTGTGTTGGGGTGGGGTGATGTCTGTGTTGGGGTGGGGTGGGGTGGGTGATGTCTGTGTTGGGGTGGGGAGGGTGATGTCTGTGTTGGGGTGGGGTGGGGTGGGTGATGTCTGTGTTGGGGTGGGGAGGGTGATGTCTGTGATGGGGAGGGGAGGGTGATGTCTGTGTTAGGGTGGGGAGGGTGATGTCTGTGTTGGGGTGGGGTGGGGTGGGTGATGTCTGTGTTGGGGTGGGGTGGGTGATGTCTGTGTTGGGGTGGGGTGGGTGATGTCTGTGTTGGGGTGGGGAGGGTGATGTCTGTGTTGGGGTGGGGTGGGTGATGTCTGTGTTGGGGTGGGGTGGGTGATGTCTGTTTTGGGGTGGGGTGGGTGATGTCTGTGTTGGGATGGGGTGGGTGATGTCTGTGTTGGGGTGGGGACGGGTGGGTGATGTCTGTGTTGGGGTGGGGTGGGTGATGTCTGTGTTGGGGTGGGGAGGGTGATGTCTGTGTTGGGGTGGGGAGGGTGATGTCTGTGTTAGGGTGGGGAGGGTGATGTCTGTGTTGGGGTGGGGTGATGTCTGTGTTGGGGTGGGGTGGGTGATGTCTGTGTTGGGGTGGGTGATGTCTGTGTTGGGGTGGGTGATGTCTGTGTTGGGGTGGGGTGGGTGATGTCTGTGTTGGGGTGGGGACGGGTGGGTGATGTCTGTGTTGGGGTGGGGTGGGTGATGTCTGTGTTGGGGTGGGGAGGGTGATGTCTGTGTTGGGGTGGGGTGGGGTGGGTGATGTCTGTGTTGGGGTGGGGAGGGTGATGTCTGTGTTAGGGTGGGGAGGGTGATGTCTGTGTTGGGGTGGGTGATGTCTGTGTTGGGGTGGGGTGATGTCTGTGTTGGGGTGGGGTGGGTGATTTCTGTGTTGGGGTGGGTGATGTCTGTGTTGGGGTGGGGTGGGTGATGTCTGTGTTGGGGTCGGGTGGGTGATGTCTGTGTTGGGGTGGGGTGGGTGATGTCTGTGTTGGGGTGGGGTGGGTGATGTCTGTGTTGGGGTGGGGAGGGTGATGTCTGTGTTGGGGTGGGGAGGGTGATGTCTGTGTTGGGGTGGGGTGGGGTAATGTCTGTGTTGGGGTGGGGTGGGTGATGTCTGTTTTGGGGTGGGGTGGGTGATGTCTGTGTTGGGGTGGGTGATGTCTGTGTTGGGGTGGGGTGATGTCTGTGTTGGGGTGGGGTGATGTCTGTGTTGGGGTGGGGTGGGTGATGTCTGTGTTGGGGTGGGGTGGGTGATGTCTGTGTTGGGGTGGGGAGGGTGATGTCTGTGTTGGGGTGGGGTGGGTGATGTCTGTGTTGGGGTGGGGTGGGGTGATGTCTGTGTTGGGGTGGGGAGGGTGATGTCTGTGTTGGGGTGGGGTGGGTGATGTCTGTGTTGGGGTGGGGAGGGTGATGTCTGTGTTGGGGTGGGGTGGGTGATGTCTGTGTTGGGGTGGGGTGGGTGATGTCTGTTTTGGGGTGGGGTGGGTGATGTCTGTGTTGGGGTGGGTGATGTCTGTGTTGGGGTGGGGAGGGTGATGTCTGTGTTGGGGTGGGGAGGGTGATGTCTGTGTTAGGGAGGGTGATGTATGTGTTGGGGTGGGGAGGGTGATGTCTGTGTTGGGGTGGGTGATGTCTGTGTTGGGGTGGGGAGGGTGATGTCTGTATTGGGGAGGGTGATGTCTGTGTTGGGGTGGGGAGGGTGATGTCTGTGTTGGGGTGGGTGATGTCTGTGTTGGGGTGGGGAGGGTGATGTCTGTGTTGGGGATGGTGATGTCTGTGTTGGGGTGGGTGATGTCTGTGTTGGGGTGGGTGATGTCTGTGTTGGGGTGGGTGATGTCTGTGTTGGGGAGGGTGATGTCTGTGTTGGGGTGGGGAGGGTGATGTCTGTGTTGGGGTGGGGAGGGTGATGTCTGTGTTGGGGTGGGGAGGGTGATGTCTGTATTGGGGAGGGTGATATATGTGTTGGGGTGGGGAGGGTGATGTCTGTGTTGGGGTGGGGAGTGTGATGTCTGTATTGGGGTGGGGTGATGTCTGTGTTGGGGAGGGTGATGTCTGTGTTGGGGTGGGGAGGGTGATATCTGTGTTGGGGTGGGGAGGGTGATGTCTGTGTTGGGGTGGGTGATGTATGTGTTGAGGTGGGGTGGGTGATGTCTGTGTTGACGTGGGGTGGGTGATGTCTGTGTTGGGGTGGGGAGGGTGATGTCTGTGTTGGGGTGGGTGATGTATGTGTTGAGGTGGGGTGGGTGATGTCTGTGTTGAGGTGGGGTGGGTGATGTCTGTGTTGGGGTGGGGAGGGTGATGTCTGTGTTGGGGTGGGTGATGTATGTGTTGGGGTGGGGTGGGTGATGTCTGTGTTGGGGTGGGGTGGGTGATGTCTGTGTTGGGGTGGGGAGGGTGATGTCTGTGTTGGGGTGGGGAGGGTGATGTCTGTGTTGGGGTGGGTGATGTATGTGTTGGGGTGGGGTGGGTGATGTCTGTGTTGGGGTGGGGTGGGTGATGTCTGTGTTGGGGTGGGGAGGGTGATGTCTGTGTTGGGGTGGGGAGTGTGATGTCTGTATTGGGGAGGGTGATGTCTGTGTTGGGGTGGGGAGTGTGATGTCTGTATTGGGGAGGGTGATGTCTGTGTTGGGGTGGGGAGGGTGATGTCTGTGTTGGGGTGGGGAGGGTGATGTCTGTGTTGGGGTGGGGAGGGTGATGTCTGTGTTAGGGAGGGTGATGTCTATGTTGGGGTGGGGAGGGTGATGTCTGTGTTAGGGTGGGGTGGGTGATGTCTGTGTTGGGGTGGGGTGGATGATG